ACTAGGAGTACCCCTAATATGGGGCCGCATATCACATGACCTCTACAGCGGGCCCAAAATGGGGCCGCACATCACATGACCTCTACTGCGGGCCCAATTTGTGGCCGCACATCACATGACCTCTACAGCAGGCCCCATACAATGCCTCTGCAAAGTTTGAAAACGATCCATCAAGTAGTTCTTGAGTTATCGTCTTAAAAAGAAAGCATATGCAGCAGTGGTGACTGACCCAAAACTATATGTATTCCTTGTCCAGGCAATTCAGTAAGTACAGATAATAGTGCATGTAGCTTTCATAAAACATTTTTTCTATTTTAAATTGAAGCCCCATCCCCTTGTACTCTGTAGTGATAGTACTACCCTTTTTTAACACTAGGTGTCTCTAATACCATACTGCTAATCTGGATTTCTCCAGGAATTTCCAAGAATTTTCCCTATCCTTGCTATTTACCTTGAGGTTCTTTTGACCTGCTATTTAAGGCTGTAAAAGTAACTTCCAATTCAAGATTTTCTGTTTTTCAGGGGCTTGTCAAAATAAGAAATGGCAGAAATACTGGCTGAAATTTTTCTTGTCTCACTTGTCCTGTCATTCTGCACTGGAGAGGTATTTACTGCTTAGCAATTTCATTAAGCTTCCTCTGACTGCACTGAAATGAAAGTAGGTCACACTTTTGTTGCACAACCAAAGTACCTGTGAATGGATTAAAATTGACTGCTGATTTCCAAACTACCCACACATCCTATTTCCGGCAGACTTTGGGATGCTGATCGAATTGCAAGTTCCAAGGAATCTGCTAACCCTTGTTATGCCAGTGATTGTTATTAATTTGCTATACCATACTACTACACTGTACACATTTTTTAGTCCTTCTGCTCATTTGTTAGAATTCAGCTATTTGAATTTTTAAATACATCATTAATAAGAAATCTGACAGCCTAAGTATGTATAACTTCTCTTATTCATGTTGTATCACTCAATGCAATCTGTGACACACATTGCCTTAGACAGGAAGATGCTAATGCAATGCTTTCTTACAGCTGAAGATTAAATTGGCAGCTAAAAAAATTGGTGTGCTCAGTAATAAACAATGTAATTTATTACAGGTGTTAAACAATTCCTAAAGGTTATCATTGTATTGAGAAAACATTTTTTTTTAAACTTGGTAACAAGTGGTTAAATAGATTATAGTAAGTACTGACAGGGTAAGAACCTATGAAGATGAACATAGTGTGTGCATAGTTTTGCAATAACTGATGGTGGCTTTATTTTTATTCTTACTTGGCATCTGGTATCCTGTTTTTTGATCAATTAAACATACAATTGACATTCAGGTGTTGCTCAGAAAAAAAGATGTTATTCAGCTCCTCCAATTAAAAGCACGAATAATTTGATGCTGCTTTCCCTTTAATAATTATGCCTATTACCACATACCTAACTTTGATATTACCACAAGATATGTTCAGTTAATTATATCTGAGAGGCTTAAACAGCATTCTGTGCATAGGATTATGTGGATATTTTGGTCAATAAATGCCTACTTTACAAAAATTACAGAGCCCGGGTCTTTAATTTTGTAACTGAAGACAGATTATTTGAACTGTAAATCAGAATGCACCCCATTTCTGTAAATGTAGTGCTTCTGTCTTATCAGTGCTATAATGTAACACTAGCCCATTGGGATTAGCTACACTGTAAAGTGAGGTGTCAGTAACTGGCTGAGGAATGAGGATGATAAAAAGAGGACACACATTTATGTTTTTGTGTAAACAGAAGGCAAGAAAAGGTGATAGATCACAGATGTAGCTCAGTAGCAATTGTGAGTGTCTCACCTAGGGTAGAATACCAAAACTGTCACCATCAATCTGAAACACATTTCACTCTATAAGGCAGATTTCACCGTAAACATCCCATTTCGCTCTTTATCAATGAAGATGGTGTTTCATTTAAAAACATCATCCATATTGAAAAAGGAACAAATATAGTGTCCAATATGTACTAATTCTCCATCTATTTCTGCTCTTCTACAAAATAATTTCTTAATAATAGTTTTCTACACTGGTTTCAGGTAGATTTCATTTGATAAGCAACATTTGTTGATCTAACATATGCATCATCAGCAAAACCTTTAAAAATGGACTCTTTATTCACTCGAGCGTCTAACAGGAAGTTCTTAGCTCCTTAAATGTATCCTTGTTGACTCAGAGGGGGAGGCATGGATTTTACTTACCAACTTTTATTGGATTTGAGGATTGCATAGTGAATGAACCAAGTTATTAAGTAAAACAAAATTTTATATCCACATGGATAAAAGGATTATTCATAAAGTGGCAGCAGTACCATTCTGGCATTGTACAAAGTTTGCACCTTACATTACTGGACTAGACAGCTTAATACAGTGTCCTTGGGGTGACAACACTAGATAGATAGATGGATGGATGGATGGATGGATGGATGGATGAACCCCAATATGCCACTTATTGCAAATGCTTAGAGAAAACAACTGAGGAACAAAAAAAAAAGATTCATAGACATACTATAACGTAATCAACATTATTATGAAAAGATTTGTCATCTGTCCATTTACTCTCAATGGTTTTGTAATTGCTTTAACTGCTATAATAGTGCAATTTTCACTCTTTTCACCTCCTACCACAAGTTATAATGCTTATATTATCTTGTACTCCTGAGCTCCAGGAAATGCATCTTTTCTATTCCCGTTTATGCTGAATTTCAACTGATCAAGTTGAAAGAGATAGGAAGTCTTTATATTTGTGCTATTGGATTTTACAATAATTATTTTCAATATAGCTATAGCCGAAATCAGAATTGCATTCACAAAATGTACAGTTCACCACAACCTTTGGTGTTAAAGCATTTGTAGTCATTCTTAGGGTGATGATAAACAGGGCAACTCTTTGAGCAATGTTGCCGGGCAATGTTGCTGACAAATGTTGCTCAGACACTTTCCCACTGAAATTGGGCAACAAATTTCTACTTGAAAATCTTTGATCAGCAATGGGCAACTTTTCACGATCATCCAGTTGCAGACGATCTGCCCGTGCCTGGCTTGTAATTAGATTTATCCCAACAGCCAATGACAATTAATGATATCATCGTCTCTGCAGAGTTCCTACCTGGATGACTTTTAAGAGAAAATGTTTTAAATTAAAAATGTACTTAGACCCACAATTTTGTAGCTGCATTGATATTGCCTTTATAATTTAAAATTGTCATTGAATATTGTCCAACAAGATACTTAGCTTGAATAGCTTGAATGTACTCCCTAAACTTTTTATTTATTTATTTCTCCGACTCCATTTCTGGGTGGCATGGTGGTGCAATGGTTAGCACGTTTGCCTCACACCTCAGGGTTTGAGGCTTTGTCATGGCTCCGTGTCTCTGTGTGTGTGAGTTTATGTGATCTCCCCGTGTCATTGTGGGGTTTGCTCTGGGTACTCTGGTTTCCACTCCACACGCCAAAGATAGGCTGTGGTTAATTGTAGTTTCCAAATTTGCATGTAGGTGTGAATGTGCCCTTTTTGTGCTTTTGCAGCCCCAAATCTCTTATACCTGCAACCTCACCCTACAGATGTCTGATCATGATAAGCTCTCATTGACATAGTCTGTCATCACTGTTCACTGTGCCATGTTAGCTTTCACCTTGCCTTTTTAGGGTTAGGGTACTGGCATAATCAGAGAGAGACATGAGAGTCACTTACAGAGTAAAGTCTGGTGCATTTTAGATAATTAAAGTTCATAATTTAAGCTCGTTGACACTTTCAAAGATCAAAGTACCAACACTGTGCTATATTCAGCAGAGTGTCACAAGGTTCAGAAAACGTACCCGTGGGCCCTGACAATGCAAATCTCAATGACTCAAAAGGGAAGCCATCACCTTCTCTGCAGGGTAAATGCTCCTCTTTGAACGTCTGCTTAAAGGCTTCCACCAGATTTCACTTGACTGATCATTCAGCTTGCAGTGAATCAGCTAATATGATATTACTGACGTCATATAAAATCTCTGTCATTATTTTCTCATTTTCTAATTGTTTAATTATGATGAAATATATAGCTTTCAATATTTTAATGCATTTTTGTACATAACTTGTATGTTTCCTGTTATTTAAATGTTTAATTATATTATTGACATATTACTCATTTATATTTGGAAGACTTCTGTGTTTAGTGGTACTTCAGAGACATTAGCCCAGGCAACATGACATTGCTCACAGATGGTACACAGCACTGAATGGAAGAGCAACATGATTAATAGGATCTTACAAACACTTCTCTCGGGAGAAATCTGATTGCTTTACTGGGACATATAGAAGATGGAAAGGAACAAGCATACTGAAATTTTGGGGACTTAAAGCACAAGACTATGAGAAACCATGTTAGTATATCTATCTATCTATCTATCTATCTATCTGTCTGTCTATCTATCTATCTATCTATCTATCTATCTATCTATCTATCTATCTATCTATCTATCTATCTATCTAATTACATTCAATACAAATATTTCACATTGTAAGAAAGTAAAGGTTATATGGCTTTCAAAATACCATCTGTACATAGCAGTAACATATAAACAGATTACTGATGTTTATTGAATAGTATGCAAAACCAGTATACAATATCTTTAATATGTTTGAGGTATTGTTTGTAAACGGAGAAAGTAGTAATTATATGAAGTATAATATAGAGTATACACTAGGACTGATCCCCTTCCACCGGACATCTAGGGGAAGGGTAGGGGAAAGGTCTTTACGCATGCGGTATGCCTTGGCTTAAACTACACTTGAATTGGCTTTCTTGCAAAAAGTACAAATCATTCGGAATTAACTGAGTGTCTGCTATTGCATTGGTCCTTAATCATGTGCGGTGAGAGTGTTTCCTACTAATTCGCATACCGGGTCTTCCCCTGTTTCTCAAGAGATGGAATATTCCCGTCAACCACAGCCTACACAGGCGTGTGCATCACAGTTTACAAGAAAGACTTGGAGCAGGTCGTGGTAGTATTTCTGCCAAGAGAAGATATTTGGTTATTCCTGGGGAGATTATACCAGCATACAAAATGGATATTTTTACGGCTATTTTACCGGTTTTGCTCGTAACGAAACCAGGTACGAGTTATGCTGTCAGATAAAATCGACTGGTTTTACGGACAGTTTGTGTCAATTACGGATGCCTTGTTTCTGCGTCTTCACTTTTTTTATGACCTTCGCCCATGCAGATTTAGGTTACTGGTATGACTGTCGTATTAGTCTAGCAAGCTTTTATAACTTTACTTGTGTAGAGAGAAGTTTAGTTTTAATGGCTGAATCAGTATAATCTGATCAACGTTAACCATCGCATAGTTCCTGCCCCATTTAAAGTCTGATTTAAAATAAACTGTACACGTGATTGCGCATGTGAAAACGTATTCGGGTAAATGCAATGACATTTATATGCCTTCTTTGACAGCTGTGAGTTATTGTGTTGAACTCACCGCAATAATAGGACAGATTATTGAGAAGGTTCGCACACTTGATCTCATCCCCCTAACATTTACGTAGCATGATGGGCCCATATTAAAAACAAAATATTCCCATTTAATCTGGTTCAGTTTTCCGATGAAGTTATCCTGGACACTATATACCTGAATATTTCCGTTTTTTTAAGGGATCGTTCTTTGAAATATATTCTGAAAGGGAATGATGATACGCGGACTGTGATACATGTTAGTTGGGCTTTCTTTTGCACCTCTTTTTTCCCGTGCGTTTCACCTTAGTTCAAACGATTTCTTTTCCTTCCAGTTTTAGGGTTTGGAGTAGACCCCGAATTGCAACTGGATATCATCAATGAACTGGAATTTGCAAACGCAACATCTGGAATAAGCCAAGTGTCCGGGCTCCACAACAACAGCAAAGCCTTCTTATTTCGAGGTACTGTAGTTCACTTTTACGGCCAGCAACGATTGCTCTGTATTATTATTATTACTACTACTATTATTATTATTATTATTATGTTGTTGTTGTTCTATTTGGTTTTATTAAAAACAAAGGCAAAGAACTATCAAAGGATGCAGCGCTGGTTATGGGTCTATAATTGCTTCAGAAGTTGTTTAACTCGTTGAAAAAAACATACCTCACTTCCCATTTATTCCGACGTGCGACCAGACGTGGGGATTTATATTACCGGTGAAAAACATAACATGGCCGAAGCGCGACAGTATCAAATATTAATATCTGAAAATGTATTAGGGATTACAAACAAAACGAGGCGTTTGCAACACGCAGACGGTCTTGCTTGTTCGTTAGGCTATAAGTGGAACAGTTTAGCTTTTATTGTCAGACGCGCTTAACACTTTAGGTTAATGTGATGCTTTATGCCGTAATATGTCCACATGGATTCGTGGTCGCCTTAATACAACTATATATAAACATAATGGCGAACAATTAACGGAGGGACCACTGACTTTTCGGGGAAATCACGGACCTAGTTAAAGCATGCCTTTATGATAATTGATCTTTATTTGCCTTTCCGTAAGTTTGTCAGATTCAATACGTACTACATAGATACGTGATAAGTACAATATTAACATTTGGCAAGACGTTTCCCAAGAAATTCTCTCCAGATTTGTAGGCTGATGGCTAACACAATATCCAAACTCAAAAGACAGGGGGGTTTGGCTATATTTAGTATACCGCTGCACATCGATCGTTTGAAATTTGTATTATTTCACGTTTATTTTTTTTCTTTCTTTATTTCTTTCACTGTTGATCTGTACCCTTGTATTTCAAATTAAATGTTGTTTTGGAAGTTATTTGTATTTACGTAGGACAGGTCATATATTTTAAGTTCCATTCGTCTTGGTATGTTAGGGTGTTATACAGTAATGCAGCATTGTTAATTATAGTGTTTGGGGACTCATGCATAGTTGTTCAGATCATTTTCATACCAAAAAAGTGTGTATTGTCAATGCTTTGTTTACCATTCTTAACCCCCATTTATTCTCACATTTCACAACCTCCGACCCTAAACAAGGAATTCTTCAATGTAGAAGCAGCCTCAATGGACCATCTGAGGGAGGGAAATTCAGTTGACTTAGCAGGCATCGATTAACTTCTGTCACAGGCTTTGCTCTGCATGGAATGTGCAGTGTGGTATGTTTCTCAGGGTAGGTGCCCTAGCTTTTGGGAACATCCAGCCCATAGTTGAAAGAAATGCAGTCAGAGCTCCTGAACAGCTTTTTGTACCAAAGTGCTCCTTTGCTTGCAGGGTTGCTGTGTGTGATCTGCATCTGGATCAGGGTTATTGCATTTATGACGTCTATGACAACATATTTTAAACTGAAATGAATTAAACAAAGATAAAATAAGAAAGTCAAACACTTTCTAAAAGGCTATTTTGCTAAAAATATTCTTTGTTTTCAATGACCATTAAGAATACCTGGAACATGTTTTGTCCTTTTGAGGACATTAATGCAGGGTGCGCACTGTGTGTTCATGCAGAATTCTGTAAATATCAGACTTAAAATGCTGTACAACTTTCCGTTTGTCCCTACAAATTATATCACTAAAACTTTAATTGAAACAACAATACATAAAAACTAAACAGAAAATAAAAACTACGAAAACCACACTGAAAACTAACTAAAAATAAACTGGATTTCATATAATAACTGAAAATAATATAAAAGAAAAAACTAACTTAAAAAAAAATAAAAACTATAATAACAGTAATCTGGACTTTTGGGTTAAGTGTCCGCCAGTTCATAGGCCTCCTCATCGGACATGTACATATGCTTATGACACGGTTGACATAAATGTGGTTCATCTGCTGTATTTCTGCCCACACAGCCACAAATCACAGTGGTTTCTGTTTCGGAATTTTGTCCTTTTCTTCTGCCTGAAACATTCTGCTCGACCATTGTTACTCACCCAATTAATAAAGAAAACCTGAGTTGGGCTGCACAATTCTGTGTAAAATATTGTAACAGGATTTGTGTAGTGGGTCATGTTTATTAATAGTAAAGAGGAGGCAGTTCTTTATAAAAAGGAACCACATTTATTAACAGCACACTGCCAAAGACAACCAGCAGCGACACAGACAGGGGAAGTCCACAATTTATGCAACATCCACACTCGGGGTAGACGCTATTGAAAACATGCACTCCACGGGAGATACTACATGTGTATTACATGGGTAGAATATTTTCTATTTACAGTGTAAATACATGGTTACACACATTAAATAACATGATCACACATATAAGCTGTGTGGCGCAAAGCATGCTGGTAATATGAATAATCGCAATATGAATCACATTTTTTTTCCACTCAGAATCGAGATTGCAATTTTCTCTCTTGATTCTTGAGCAATATATTTCTTCTTCTTCTTCTTCTTCTTACATATTGTCTTTATATAGATGGAACAAATAATATGTAGAGATGCATGATATATGGATTAACAATCTGATACTGTCATTCGACATTTAGACCTTAAACTAATTTAAACTTTCAGTATTCAAAGTTGGCAACACTGAAGCTACTACTGAAATAAAGGTAATGATTGCGCTAGACAGCATTTTTCATAGTGGTGGACTAGGATTTCTGTTTGCTCATTCACCACTTATAAGAGGTCTAAAAGTATTGGCCCATGAAATGTTTGTACAGCCCCTCCTCAGTTTACGATGGGGTTACATTATGATGAACACGTCATAAATTGAAAATATTGTAAGTCAAATATGAATACGATATGAAAAATCACACAGAAAAACACTGTACAATACGTTGTTAAACACTGTATGACATGTTTACGCCTGTGATTGTGACAGAGACTTCAAGCATGGCTATGTGGAAGCTGCCATCACCCAGCATTAGTAAAAAGTATCGTACGACAAGCCGCTAGCCCGAGAGCAGATCAAAATTCAGAGCTTAATGACTACTATAGCATCGTTATCGCACCATTGTAAAGTTGGAATATCGTGAGTCGACCCATCGTAAAGCGATGGGCATCTGTAATTCTTTATTAAATCTGGCCCATAGATTGATTATTAATTTTTCACAGGAAAAAAAGGTCATTCCAGTGATTTGCTAATTTTCGTCAGCAAGCTTAACAAGTTCCATGGCTTATTCTAAATAAAAAGGAAATTTGTGACTAAGTTGTTCTTATTGTGCTGTACTGTAGGTAACAATTCTGTATTTAGATCTGTCTTCAGTAAAGCTAGGTTGCTTTTTGTAAGATCAGTAGATTTGAATGTATAGTACTGTACTTTTTGCTTAAGTGCTTTTAAAACTGGGTAATTTAGATTTTTTTTTTACTGGAGTCGTATTTTACTGAATGACTTTTACTTGAGTAACATTTTGGTATGGCAGCTGTACTTGAGCACAGACGAACATATACTTGCGTAAATCTGTTTTGTAAATTTTGCAATTCCAGACTTACATAAAAAAACAACCATACAGTACACGTTATTTAGGAATAGTGCTTATACAAAGCATCTGAAGTACGTTAAGCGCAAGTTGGAGTAGCTAGACAAGGCAGGCAGCTGCATCTTCCCAGTTCTCACATACAGTATCACGTCACGTGTTGTGAACTCATCTGTTCTAATGAGTATAGAGCTTTATACAGTAGAAATGTTAAGAATTCATTTCATTGACTTTGCCTGTCTTATTACAGTGTTTGATATGTCTGACATTTACTAGAGGATTTTATTAATTGTGTAATTTTTTGTACTTGTGTTTGTTACAAATGCTTAGGCTAGGTTAAGCTGGGGTAGGCTAGGTATGTTGAATAGTGGGGGAGAAAGGGGTAATCTGTCATACCTAAATTTTGACTTGCATAAGTAGTTGAAGAACAGTCTATTTGCATAAGTCAAGGAGTATCTGTAGGAAAATTGTGCAATTTTTCCACCACTGTTCAGAACATGTGTGCATTGTATGGGCTTGACAGCAGGAGTGTGACCCATGTGGAGGAGTGAACGTCTAGTGCACATCTAGAGAAATATATCTCGACCTTTACTATCAAGGGGACTGATGGTCATTCTTCCATAGGCTCCCTCTGCAAATTATTGTATTTGATCCTAATTAAATTATCTTATTTTATGAGCACTTCAACTGCAAGATGGTGTTTGGGCAATGAGCTAGATTTTGTATCTGATCAGTTTATGCTCTGGGAAGGAAAAATAAATAATCTACTAATGTATTATGCATATTATTAGTAAATTTCACCTTAAGGTATTGCTAACTATAGCTTCAGTGAGGTGAGTTAGTCAATGAACTCTTAATAAGCTCTGGATTTCTCTCAGCCTTGTTAAGTTTTAGGGTATGTTGTCTGTAATACTCTGTTTATGATTGAATTGGTGTGTAGTGTTACAAACATACTCATTAAATATTGTGAGGCAACCTGAGGCCAGCTTCTCAGTCTCTTTCATGATCCTGGCCACAATTACCTCTGTTCCTTTGTTTTGTAGATTAGTTTTTCAATTTGGAAATCAGTGTATTTGTGTTCAGTAAAGCAATCTGTTAAACCCATTTTGTAAATCAGGTGTTAATTGCTGTGAACTATTTTGACACTGTTCATTGTTTTTCCTTTCCATGTTTCACTGCCACTGTCTTTTTGAGAAGTTCAGATATCATGCCTTTGTTTTTTGGTCAAGATAGTGTTTAGTATGGAATATTATGAAATGGAATGGTTGTTTATGAAATAGACCACTATATAAAATATAGTGCTTCGACAGTATTTTATGACGATGTAAGTAGGTAATGCCAAGCATCTGGTGGACAACATGGACCGTTTTCTCTGAATGGAGACTGTTTATGAAGAAATGATCTCCTGCCTATCTTGTAATGTATTTGATGAAAATTGGCAGTTAAATAATTTGTAAAAGGTGGTTTACCTGCTGGTAGTCTGAGCATTCTTGTATATTCCAATCCGTCAT